CCAGTGGCCTTGTATACATGCCACAAAAGCACAAGGGAAAGGAATGGCTGAGGGTTAATTCTGACATCTTGTGGCCCTAAGGAAAATAGAAGCTGGCTTTTGCTAAACATTTATTTTAGTATTGATATCTCTTGGGAAAATCTGAATCACGCAAGAGAAAGTCAGTATGCTTAATGGAAGGATGTGCAGCTGCCTCGTTCTCAGACTCTTTGCCAGATGGTGCTGTGATTTTGGAACAAAAACAAATGAGTTATAAAATAATGTTGCAGATGGCAGAAACCAAACTTTTACTTTCAGTCACTGAGTACTACAAACAGATAAAAAGCAGCTGCAAATGTAACAAATGACGGGAATTCAGTAGTGTACAACTCTCCCGCTACAATAGTCACATATTAAGAAGGTGAGAAGCTTCACCCTGGTCAAAGTAGCAAGCATGGATGGGAAGGAGTTTAAAGGTGACAGGGAATGAATTTATCAGTGAGAGGAACCATTTCTGAAGTAGAGGAAGAGATGGGAAAAAACCCCAGAACTGTCAGCCAATTTCTTTCCATGCTGGCCTTGGAGTGGAGGGTAGGGGGTTTGAAAAGAAGGAGGTTAGGTGTGTACAGGGATCGTACTCCCGTACCAGGAACTGTGTAACGGAAGGGACTTTATGTTGTGTTTCAGGGTGTGCAGCACTTCTTTGCTACTTCATCCTGTTGCAGTAGTTTATGTTTCAGGGATAAAGGTCTCATTTGTTCAAGTCACACCACAAAACTCTGCAGACAGACCTTGATTTTATAACAGAAATAAATTACAACTAGCTGCTGATACTATGTCCAGTGCTTTATGATGGCAAACCATAATTTATCTTTAAACATTTACCCAATGGAGATTTTTAAGACAAAGAAGTATAGGGCTGTTGGGACAGTTTGTGAATGATTTATTGACTGTGCCAATGTCAGATTCCTTTACTGACACATGAACCATAAGCATAAGGATGCAGAGTTTAGAGAATAAACATTAGCATACAGGGGATGGCTACCTTGTCTTTATTCACCCAAGTTTATTTATCTTACATACCTCTACAGGAGTTTAGAAAAATAATGCCTAGACTTGGCTGGTTACTCCACTGCTAACCAAAGCCATGACTAAATGTAGGCGAGCTGTTAGGCTGCAAATTTTCCAGATGAAGCCACTTCCAGCTGACATGAGTGATCTGAAGTTATTGCTTTCTGGCTGATTCAGGAGTTTGTCGACTTGCTCCAGTAACTCTTTCAGTCTGTCTTGAACAGGAGACTGTTTATAGTCTATCACTCTGAAAATGGAGTCAGTGGGGAAAAAATGCAACTGGACAGGATGCTAGATAATCTCATCTAGGCTCCCTTTCCCATCAAAGGTTGGAACAGAAGGTCTTTCAAGATCCCTTCCAACCCGAGTGGTTCTGTAAGATGGGGGAAACGGGACAAGAGACAGGAACAGGTGACAACACATCTGAGAATTTTCTTCTAAGCAAGGGCAGACCATCAGGTAGAAGAAGAGCTCGAGACCTGTGATTCTGTGCTTTCACTAGCAGCCTAGAGTAGTAGCTTGCTTGAGTTTCACATCTTCAGCTGTATTCTTGCAACAGCCTGTTTTAAAGCATGTGAAAGATGGGAGAAGCTCAAAGCTCAAATATTTTGGCCAAAAAAGCAATGCACACATGGTTATGATACATGACGAGCCACAGCATTGTACCTACCCCAAATCCCTAACTGGAAGATAAGAAGAAACTCTGATACAGTTTATTGTTCAGCATGCTAAACATTCCCTCAAATTGTTCCTGCTCTAGTGTCATTATGGTAATTTTCTTACTTGTCAAAAAATGTCATCTGCTTGCCTTGACATGGGTTTTCAATAAATGAGAATTCCTTAGAGCAGTCCTTTGCTAGAATCTAGAATGCCAGTTGTTTAATATTATCAGTATAAATACCTCTATATTCTAATAATTAATATGGTGATAGTACATCTCTGACCCTTGGAGACAGCAGAATTAATGCGAAACTCTGAAGAAATAACCACTCGCTATCCCCTATTGCCCTCTTACATACCAAGCAAGAACTTTAATCCATGGTAAAACAAAGGGTAGGCACTTTTCTCTTATGTTGTTTAATCCAGATGTTTTTCCATTAAGGAAAAAATAGCAATGGGAGCATAAGTAGACATTATTGGAAGCTGCTGCATCACAGAAGGAATGGGATGTGCTAAATTTGTTACTTGATTCTGTGTATATTTGCAGAGTATGTCTTACCCCCTTTTCACAAAAGCAGTTCTGGCTGTGCTTTGTAGCATGTGGAATAATTGCTTAACTTTTCTCATATGATGTTTTGAAAATAGAAATGTAGTCAAAAGAAACACTTAGCTGTGAAAGAACCTGTTGATACCAAACCTTTCTTTTTTATATGGAATGACTTTAAAAAAAAATACAACTTGTAAAGAAGCCATGAATCAGCCACTTCTCTTCCTGGTTCTGCAGTTGGCATAATCAGCGTCTTGAGCATAGTGCTTCGCTTCAGGAAGTCTACTTATATGTGAAAGTCAGAGTAAAATAGGGTGTTAGAAGAACTGTGTTACAGCTTGTTAAATAAATACTTCTTGGTAACCAGGACCAAGTCTGCTCTCATTTGAGGCACCATATGTGCCTACTACAGTAGGGCAAAGTCTGAGTTTATCTCCAAAATCACACTTAATTTCAAGAGTGATTTTGCTAGCACTGCAGACTCACGGATTTGAAGCAAGTTTAGTGTCTTACCCACCCACGCTATGGCAGTCATTACCTAAGAGCTGTAGACATCGCATCCCGATTAGCCTTAGATTTCAGAGGTGCACGTGCACACCACACACTTGTGGCTGCAGTGAGACACGTGTAGTGACATCTAGAAGCAAAGACTCTTCTCTGTGTCACAGTGTACAAGTACCAGAAGGGCTTTAAACTTGAACCTGCACTCCCGCCTCTTTGTTGTAGAACTTTCCTATATAAATGAAAAATATTCCTGTAGAAAGCATTACTTTCCTTCTAGGGGTTTCAACAGTCAGGTACAAATGAACAGTCAGAACGCGGTCACAAGGCATCACAACAGGACTTTGCCACTACTACATTCCACAAAGTAAGTTAAGGTCTCAGATGGGGCCAGGGCTTTGGGTTGGTGGTTAAGGCAATTCACACTGTAGACAGAGCAACATGTTGGGACAAGCACAGTCCCTCTGACTCGGGTGGTTGTTGCACTGCTGCTTCTTTGCCTAGATTTCACACACTCCCACTCAAGTGCACTTAACATAGTTCTTTTATAAAATGCTTCATATCATAAAAACTTTTAAAAGCCTGATAAGGTAGTTTATTAAAAGGAACAGACACGAGCCTGTTGTGCTGGGCATACATTTTTCTTGATGACTTCAGTGAAAGGCTCGCATCCATAAAGGAAAGGACAGAGCTATGGCAGGAAAGAAAGGCAAACAACTGACACTCAGCCATTTGTAGTGTGTAACTCCCGTGAAGCTGGCAATGCCACAGAGCCTGAATAACAAACGTGAGCAGAACTGATGGCAGACTGCTTAGTGCTATCTGCAAAGTGATCAGAAAGGGAAAAACCTCAGAAAAGAAGTAATTTAATTTGTACCAAAACCTTACTCTCAGCCCACCTCAACAACTACGGATTTACACTGCCTGAGATTCTCTTCCGTAACGGGTAATCAGGGCCGCCTGACGCAGGAGGAACATACTTGCACTTCAGTAAATCTTCCCTGGTTTTAGCGCCTCTTTTATGTATAACTGTGTTCTGAAGTCCCTTTTTTTATGTACTGTGGATCTTTTCTTAAGAGGCCATTCCAACTTCTGTCCTTTCCAAATTGATTTCCTAGTACTACAGAAGGAAAAAATATAGACAATGGTCAGAATACACAAATCATGAGAAAACAGCTGTTAGGGTAATTAAAACTGTTTTGATGATTTTTTTTTTTTTTTAAATTTTACCAATCTGCTTTCTAATAGAACTTTAGTTGAAAGACATTCACAGAAGATATTACACATACATACACATTGTCCTTCTTTCATTCTAGCTTACATGCCATTGCTTTTAAGAGGCAAGGTTTCTCTTTTGTTCCTCTAGAATGGGTAATGAAACCTGATTAACAGACTTCAGGTTCTGCTTTTCAAAAATTATACCCCCTTCAGGATCACCATGCTTGGTGGAATGTAAGATCATTCAAGGGTGAAATCATATCAAAAGCTATTGCTTGTCAAACTGAGATAGCTTCACATTTCAACAGATTAAATGCATCTGCCATTAAAGGGCACTATTTTAATTAAAATATATTTACTAGACTCTTAAACTGAATTCTTATCACTCAATAAACTTGTACATATACACCACTGCTTTGGCAGTCTAACTAAAATATTTATGATGACCATCCTTTCACATACATCATGCTACCTAGAGCATGATACTAAAATGCTGCCATACCTTTGAGGTTGTAAATGCTAGAAGAGATTTAAAAGGTATAGGTAACATTTAAGACAAGAAAAATACAAAGCAGAAATGCTCCAGTACCAATTAAAAATATATATTCCTATTTAATCATCTGAATTTTCTATCAGTAAATATAGAATAAGCACTGTGTGAAAGACTTGGTTCAAATCCGCTAGATTCGATTGCAGATTTCCCCTTGAGTCTGGGCTGATACCAAAATTAGTCTTCCACCATTTTGGCTCTTTGGAGCTCCATGACTCATTACCTGGTGGTCTGTGTGTGTGTTGTGAATGAGGATCTGAAATATTGCTAACATTATTTCACTAACACTGAGAGCCCTAGTCTCCAGCCCAGACTTGCTCTCCCCACTGCTGGCAGCAGCTTTGCCATTGATTCCCGTGGAATCAGGAATGAGCCTTTTAGAAACACAACTGGAACACTTCGGTTCCCCAACCAGTACAAGAAGCTACATTTTTCTGCACAGTTCAAATAGGTGAAGCAGCTAGAAAGAGGTGATAAAAGACCGATTATTTTAATAGTCTTTGCAGAAATTACAGAATTTTATAAAAGCAGGACCCACTCTCCCCTCCAACAGATTTTCCCACTTACAGGCGTATGGATAGTACTTATTAAACAACATGGGGTTTTGGCACAAATAAGAGTGAGTGAAGTAAACTATGGATGTTGTTTCCACTTTCAATAATAGGCTCGCAGAGGAAGAAAACCTCAGAAAACATCCAGTGCTAGCAAAATACGCAAGCTACTTCTCTGAGCCTGCTTCTGCCTCGCTGTTAGGCTGCTGAATGACCACTGCCTGGAATTAAGCATACACCATTCTTAAAAATGAAATACATAGCAGACATGCAGGAATTCACCTACAGTCACCCAATGCCTATACAGAGACCAGCTTCTAGTCTACAACATCGTGTCTAAGGTCCAGTTTAAGAAGAAACAAGAATGTTAATCGTTAAGAGTTTCTAGAGGTATGAATCATGTATCATGAAAATACTGACAAGATTGAAGATTATCAACATTTTAACACAGCACTAATGAACTTCACATAAAGAGGTCCATGGTGTCCAGTGAATGAAGACATGCAGATGCTTGCAGCTTGATTTAAAAAATTTAAAATTTGTTTTTTCAAATTTAAGACACTAATTTACAACTATTGCTTGTGCAATGCTCAAAGGTTATTTTCCAGACATTTTTGCTTACAGGGTTGTGGGAAATTAGCTGGTAATCTTTTAGAAAATCAGTGAACAGATGTCACAGGCCTCACTACCATAACCAGACAACTGTCCCTAGCTTCACCAAGGACTCAGAAACAGAGTCTGAGCCATCTTCCCCTCTAGTGCCATGCTGAGACATTTGGCAAATTTGCTCTGTGGCTGCTGTCTGTCTCTCCCATGTGAAGCAGCAGAGGACTCTAGTCTCTCAGGAGTCTGAGACAGACAGACATGTCTCCTCCCACACGTGAAGTTCAGATTAGCAAGTAACTTTTTGCTGCAAACCAAACCCCAGTCCATGTAAATGATGCTATATGAACTGCTCTTGGTAACCTGAAGTTGCAGTCAAGGATGCTTTTCTGACTGGACTAAAATACCATTAAAATCAATTTAAACATAAAGTAATATAGAAAAGAGAATGATTTTCAGTCCTGCAAAGACATCTGTGATTGCTATGTATTTTGCTGAAGTTAGTGTTGCAGGCTAGATCCATCCCATGCTGATACTCTCCAAGGGGTAGAGACTTACCTTACACCCACGATTAAACAAGAATAAGAACTCATCAGCTCAATTAAACACATGAGAGGGAGAGGTTAATACTGGAGGCAGGGCAAAAGACTGCAGAGCACGAGTAACAGAGGTGATTGTTATGCCTACCCGAACCCCTCTGCTGCATAGTTACCTGAGAAACTAATTTTAAAACTGGAAACTTTTTCGTATGCTAATTCCAAATCCATAAAGAGAAGAAATCAATGGGCTTGATTTGTTCTGATATCTATGTGCAACGAATCCAGAAGAGGGCTTTAGGCCACCATCCTTAAAAGCCAAACTGTCAGTCTGACAAATTGTGCTTATAAATTTCTTGTCTGGTAAGACTCCAATATTTTCTTCCCCCTCCATGTTTTGTTTGTTTGTTTGTTTTGTTTTCATTTGAAAGCATCGACTAGAATAATGAAAGATACAACCAAAATTACAAAGAAATTGAAGATGCCAGCACTGCTCAGTATATTAGAATGCAGATTTGGGTGAAAAAGAAATTTTTCTTGTACAGAAGAAGGGATTATATCTGTGCATACTAAACCCAGCAATATTAAAGCAAATCTAGGACTGTCACGAGCGTAAATACTTTTTAAGGGAAATTCTTGGTATCATTTCTGTTCTTTCAGCACACAGCAAATGCCCTGCAATACATTCATTCCTTCATGCTATTCCACTGCAAAAACTGCCCTTTAAGGCCTGACATTCCTATCAGATCACACTACTGGTTCATTGCCATTAAAGGAAATTAGGTCTTCAGGTTGCGCCTTTGCCCTTCCTACAAGCTGCCTGCCTACTTCTGAGGTGACACCTACAACTTCCCTGGTCCGAGAGGGGATGTGGGATGCAACACTGCACTTGGCATTGGCCTTGCTGTTCTTAAAAATGCCTTACAAAGACAGCAAAATAGTTCAGGTAAATGTATTGAAAAGTAACTCTCCACTGTGTGCTGTGTGTTTCTCACGTGCTCTCTGGGCAGTTTCCAAGCCTCCTTTGCCTCACCTTCCTGTCTATGCAAACACTGCCAGCAGAGGCTTTCCTTGCAAAGGGACTGAAACAAAGGATTTAAGGAATAAACTGGTATGCTAGAGTTGGGAAAAAAAGTATTATATGAAGCCTGTGGTGTCAAATGCATTGACTAGAGGTGTACTATATATTTCTGTGACAGCCTATAAAAAAGGAACAGAAGCAAAGTCTGGCTCTAATTCCCTACTACAATGCTTACACCTAAGCACAGTATATGCCAATATGTCATGGGCAGAGCTGAGTTTAAACTGGCATGTGCCTCAGGTCATCGGTGCCATAGCCAAAGACACAGGAACAGACTGGGTCTACAGACTCACACAGCATCATCCTGCCTCAGAGACCAACAAAATAATAACAGTAAAAAGCCCCCGAAAGCTTCCTCTGCTTTATGATCGTCCTCTCTGGTAGTAGAAGTAGTCATCATAACAGTATTTGTACATTGCTGATGAGAATTGGATGCAATCAACAAAGTGCCTGGGTTAAGAAGATGGATCCTGGCAGGGTTGGCGTGGGCTGATGACACATTGAAAAACTGTCGAGTAAGATTTGCATTAATCATCACCCCCCTGTCCCACCCCCAGCCCCGACCCCCCAATTTAATGCCACCAAAATGAATGGTGTGGGGCTGAGGGCAGCCTGTGGGGAAGTAGCCAGACATGAAGGAATACAACGCCAGGAAGAAAGGCCTGCCACTTGTTCGCAGGACAGAATTACCCACGTTTCAAACAGCTTTTAAAAAATGTAAAAAATCAGCCCCGTTTCTTATCGTGGGTATCCATAACACTTCTAAACACACAGAGAAATAGACAGGTATTACTGAAAATTTTAACCAATGCTGAAGCTGCAAAACTGCTCTTTGTTGTAGTTGTTTGGATACAGAAGGGGAAATTTGCTGTAAATAAATATTAAAAAGTATTTTTTCTTAAATGCTTGAGATACTATTTTTTTTCCTTCAGTTTCAGTCGTATTTTCCTGTCACTTGCTCCTCCAGTTGTGCTGATCTTTTTACTGTACGTGTGCTCAAGTGTCCAATGCAGAGTGTTCTCTCCCCACTGCAAGAGTCATCCCAGCCCCACCCTGGCCCAGCTCATATCCCACCCCAGGCCCCATCCCCACGGGCTTAGATAAGCCATTCCTTCTTGCTCTCATCGATGGTCTCCGTGAAGTTGGGGTCATTGTTCATGATGGCGGCATCGGCGCTCTCGGCTGACTCTGCCCCTTTGGCCTCGTTGGTGTGGTAGGTTCCCTTGTGGCGAAACATGTAGCGGATCAGGAACACCAAGGTGCAGAGGATGGTGAAGATCACCACTGCGATGACACCTACACAGAGAGGAAAGAAAAGATGCCACTAGTGAGAACATCTACGGATTTTGACACAAAGACAGGATCCCACAACTACTCCGAGCTGAGCTGAAGCTACCTGGGCAGTTAAACATCACCACAGTTGCTTGATTTCCACTGCTCCAACATTTATATATAAAATAGGTTTTGCTATATACAAAATGTCACTGAGTGGAGTCTGCTAGTGACTTTCATCCCGTAGGTAAACTTCAACATTAATACCTACATAGAGAGGTGAGCTTTGCTGACCATGAGGCAGAGGGTGCCAAGTGCTCCCAAAACATGGGGGTGAAATGGTGATGTGTCGTGGCCCAGCTCTTTGAGGATGGAGTCACTGATGTATACTTTCCAATCAATGGCTGTATAAATTTATCATCACCCCTCAACTTATCCTTGAAAATTGGCTTGGTTCACTGTTGGCTTATTCCACCCACCAGGCATGGGCTCCACATAATTACAGAGATAACTGCTTTATCATCAGACCTATCCTTAATTGCTTCATCTGCAATGGTCTATTTGGGGTTCAGCCTTCTTATGGAGAAGTCTCATAAATCTTGCCCTCATAGGCACTGGTAGCTATGTGCTAAAACAGTACTGTTCCTTTTTTGTCCCTTTTCCACAGGCATGAGTATCTTCTAGGATGAAGACATTATAAAATTCTCAGGTTAAAAAAACCCTGTAATCAGCCAGAATTATGTTATACCACTTTTGTTAACAAATGTGTTGGACAGCCCAGCTGTTCAGGTATGGTCTGAATTTTTCTAAGGAATGCAATGCTATCCTTCTAGTATTGTAAGGTTTCAAAGTATTAAGGAAAAGGTTTAAGTAGTAATAAAATATAAATTAAAAAGGAAAAATAACAGCTAATCTAAACCTGGATATGGAAACACAGACCCTTGAGGGGGCCGGGGAAAAGAAACAAGAAATTTCATTAGACTGCATGTACTATTATATTCAGTGTGACAAAACCCACCACCAGTATGTCATTTTATATGCATTTAACATTGAAAGCTATTAGGCTGCTCTTTACAATTTGTTTTTTACACGCCTTCAGAATCTGATGCAGTGTCAAAGTTCTGCCAGGAGAGTTATGGTGCGAGAATTCTATACTAAGGGACAGGGCAGACAAAACTGCATGTGTGTAAAAAATTAATCAGGATCCTTACTTCTGGAGGCAGCTGGCCAGAACAACTTCAATGGAATGCTAATTCAAAGTTACAGTTCTGGTATTACTTAACATCACCTATCACAATCTGGCACATAAGTTATAGCAGAACTTTGCCCCTAAAAAATCAAGGCAGGATCATGAGGGATTTTTGTCAGGGATGGAGCAAATAGTGTTCAACGTAGATTCATGTTGAATGCCCTGTAACTGGACAAGTGTCCTTGCCATTTCATATAAATTGATTATTCTGTTAACATAAGTAACTACTGCAAAGTAGCTCCCCACATGGATGCTTAATGTGTGGATTATGAATATCAGTATTTTGATTTGGTTAAAACTGAGTCTGAGGTGACAAACTAAGTGAGAACAAACCATTTCACTAGGACAACGTGCCTGAACAGACTTACCCAACTTTCTATTTAACTTTGTTCAGGTGTAGTTTCCCCACACAGTCAGCTCTTAGCAAATAGCTTGAATATGTTACCAACTGCAATTCAGATGTCACAGTCATACTGTCAAGTATCTTAGAAAAGTATATGGTTTTCCTACCTCCAATAATGGCAGAGTTTCTGTTAACTCCATCTCCTATAGCTTGACCATTGTACGGGAAATCAGCACTGGCTGTAAATAGGGAATTAAAGATTCATGTTGTAATAGCAGTGAAACTTCACACAGTAGTTCAGAAATACATCCAACACCCTCAGATAAAATTTAAAGAAAATTGTGATCCCTAGATATTTATCTAAAGAAGAAAAAACAAAACAAAACAAATCTTTCACTATTATCTAATCCCTCAGAACTTGCTTCCTCTTCTTAACAAAAATAAAATTAAAGGAGGTACTCGTGGTAAGCACTGCTGTTAATACAGGAGGTCATTTTGTTACTCTACTAGAATAAATTCAGTAAGTTTCTTTAGCACAACAGCAAACAAAACCTTTGCTTCCAAAAGCATGTGATCATACATAATATTATAGAGATTTTTGCCTCTGTCCCTGCTATCGATGAAAGGTTTTTCAGAAGTTTCCAGGACTTTGTGACCACCACTGAGTAAAACTGCAAGCTCTTTGAAAGAAAGAGTGCCATCCCTTTTGCTGCTGTACAGTCCAAGGTATGTGAGGGGATGCATTTTCTGTTGGTCATAGAGCCATAGAGCAGTCACCCAAAGGAGCACACGCCAGCACCTTTGCTATCCTAGGAGAAAGACCAGTATGTCAGCTTAGCCACTGCGTGAGGTGCTTTGGAGCTGAGATGCAAGACTGTGAGTTGGAGGAGCAGGCAGGAGAGCCCGCAGGAGAAGAGAGCCTCCAGCAGACACATAAGGAGAGGAAACATGGTCAGATGTACCAGCACTGGTATCACCATCTGTCAGTGACCTAAAATGGAGAGACTACTTGTGCCAGAGATGGATGAAGGAACCGATATAGGTTTAAAGTAGAATTTGGATTGTAATCTTGGTTTTAGCCTCCAGAAAAGACCACAGAGGCTTTTCAAAGCATTTTCTATTTTTTTTATTCCATCAATTAAACCTATCATCAGCATTTTCTTTATAGTCATAGCAACTAGACACTGCAGTGACTAAGCAAGCCCAGAGAGCAAGGTGAGTGGTTGCAATCATTCCCTTCTTTGCCATTGGACTGTGGCATTGAGACAGTTAAAATAATCATGGATAGGAATTACTTCTTAGGTCAGTATTTAAAACCCAGCTGTATTTTCCTTGCTTGATGAATTAAGTGATATTGTATTAATCAGTTGCCTTTACATGCATTCGCTATACCCAAAAACTGGCTAAGGAAATTCAGCTGGCTTTCTGTTAGCATGGACTAAAATCCATAATAAAGTTCCTTTTGTATCGCAAAACAGCTGCACAAAAGAATGAATGGCTTCAGCTTGCCACGTGTCCTGCAAAGAGGTCTGGGGGTAGAGCAGCCTTCCGTGTGCCTACTGTGGGGGCAAGTCAAAGCAGCTGTGTGTTAAAAACTAGTTTTTGGCTGGTTGCCTGTGGACAAACAAGAGAGCGTTTCTCAGGGCTCAGTGGAGGTGGCCTGGCCAGCGTTTTTTGCCAGCAGCACTCGTGCCTTTGACATTTGTCGGTGCTCTTGCTTCTGAAAACAGCATTTCTGCACCTCTCTGAAACAAACCAGGCGAAAAAAAATGTAAAAAATAAATAAATACCTGATCCTGTATCAATGGATTTTTGTCCGAAGAAGAACCTTACTGTGCAGGACCACAAATGTTTTCTACAGAGACATTTTGGCACAGGGTCCATAATATTATCCTCGCAGTGCTGAAATGAAGGGCTGGCAGTTGGAAAATAAACCCTAACTTTAAACCTGCTCCCCCTGCACCTCACATGGAATCCTAAAGCCAAATAACACTATCTGGAAAAGCATCAATTTGCCAAATTGTATGGAGTTGTTCTCTGCCATTCCAATCCAAAAGGAGGCCCCTTTCCATAGGAGCAGCATCACAGGCAGTTAACAAGTCCTACCACTTACCACTTGGAGTTGTGTCCTACATGAGAGATCTTAAAATCAGCGATGGGTTACAGTTCTCCCTTCCCTTACAACAGAAAACCATATTTTATCTTCTTTTAAAAGGTTGTTTCAAGGACCACGGCACTCGTGAAGTGCAAAGAAAGAGGAAAGCTGCTGTTCCTGGCAGCACGATCCCTTCTGAACTGCCACATCACAATGGCTATGCCCCAAGGGATTCCTGGCAAATGGAAGACTACAGGTTACGATGTTCAACAGCCACTGAAGTACATCACAGGATAATGAAGAAAACGAAGTATGATATGACACTACATTCTTGATCTTGTCTGAGAGCTGGTGCTAAGACTGATACCTCCATCCAAAGCTGCTTTCCATTGCATCTAGTCATTGTACACACTCAGGAGGAGATGTCCATTGGATCAACAATCAGATGTGACTCACTCTGAGACTCTCATGTCTGACAAAAAAACGTGTGTTGATCTGCTCAAGGGTAGGGAGGCTCTACAGAGAGGTCTTGACAGGCTGGAGCCATGGGCTGAGGCCAACTGCAGGAGTTTCAATAAGGGCAAATGCCGGGGGCTGCCCTTGTGCCACAACAACCCCCAGCAGCGCTACAGGCTTGGGGAGGAGTGGCTGGAGAGCTGCCAGTCAGAGAGGGATCGGGGGATGTTGATTGACAGCCAGCTGAACAGAAGCCAGCAGTGTGCCCAGGGGGCCAAGAAGGCCAATGGCATCCTGGCTTGTGTCAGCAATAGCGTGGCCAGCAGACACAGGGAACGGATCTGACCCCTGTACTCGGCACTGGTGAGGCCGCCCCTCGATGACTGTGTTCAGTTTTGGGCACCTCACTACAAAAAGGACATTGAATGACTCGAGCGTGTCCAGAGAAGGGCAACGGAGCTGGTGCAGGGTCTGGAGCACAGGTCTGATGGGGAGCGGCTGAGGGAACTGGGGGGGTTTAGTCTGGAGGAGGCTGAGGGGAGACCTCATCGCCCTCTACAGCTCCCTGAAAGGAGGGTGCAGAGACCTGGGGATGAGTCTCTTGAAGCAAGGAACAGGTGATAGGACAAGAGGGAATGGCCTAAAATTGTACCAGGGAAGGTTTAGACTGGCTCTTAGGAAGCATTTCTTTGCAGAAGGGGTTGTTGGGCGTTGGAATGGGCTGCCCATGGCAGGGGTGGAGTCCCCATCCCTGGAGGGGTTGAAGAGTTGGGTTGACCCAGCGCTGAGGGATCTGGTGGAGTTGATAACGGTCAGTGTGAGGTTAATGGTTGGACTGGAGGAACTTCAAGGTCCTTTCCAACCGAGATCATTCTGTGATTCTGTGAAGAGGAGATAGGAACATGAGTCTGGGGGCAGGGGACAGCCTATTTCATCAAGAGTTCACCATCAGATTGGATAAGTTGTGCCCTGCTGCAACTGCTGGAGAAACAGGAGTGCTGCAGTGAAAAAAGGAGCTTAGACATTAATGAATCTTTTTTAAAAGCACTTATGGCAGTGTTGGCAGATATTATCGCTATAATTTACGAATTCATGTTCTATTACTCTTGTGTCAGCAGGAGACCTGCTTTTATATCATGGGGCTCTTTTTGACTGAAAAATTATATCTAAAATCTCAGCCAAATGTGGGGTTACTAATTTCTGCTGCAGGAGTGTCTAGACCAGTTTTTTACTGAATGTATTACTATAGATGGGTAGAGGAGGAAGAAAAGAACTCTTTACTTTCTCTTTTAGGTCAAAGTTCCCTTGAAATTCTTCTGGGCAGCAGTAGCTTCTCAAAAGATCAGAAATAGCTACAGACCACAGGTCTAGTAACTGCAAAGGGTTATCTCCTGCCACAGCAATTAGGCAGAAGAGAATGTATGAGGGCTCACTCCTTGACCCTCCAAGGTGAATTTAACAGCTGAGTACTGTCACCAACAGGTACCAAGTGCAGGTATTTCAGGTAGCAGCTATGTCATTCAAACACATAGTGATTTGTCTCTGACCTTACTATGGTCACATTCCTTGGCAATATTAAGCAACTTTGTCAAGAAGTCAACTAATGAGATTCTTTCTTCCATTGCTGCTGAAATTCAGGAACTAACTGAGGAAAGCACATGTTAGAGCAGGCTGACAAAGGGGCAACAGTAATACTGATGCTCTGGTAAAAACACAGAAGACTACAGTGTGCTGTTCACAGGTTGTGAAGAGTAACTCCTAAAATGTTTTTAAATGACTGGTCAGATAAAATTAATACTGTTAGTAGTGACTGTCATTTTTGTGGGAATCTAAATCACAGTGGTACAGTAACTAGCTTGCATGGCTATAATATGCAGATTAAGTACAGGGTGAGTTGCTAATGGTCAAGTGTGTGCCTTCATTTCTCTGTTGCAGCTGGGGACACCTCTTTCCTGTTCAATTCTTCTGTTAGCACTGTGACATTAATTCTAACTACATGTCTCAGCAAGCCCTTTTTCACAGCTTCAAATCATGACTTGCCCACAGCAAATAGGTGCCACGGAGCTGAGGTTGCTCTATGTTGTTACCCTGAACAGCAAATGGGTTGTGAATGTAATAAGATGGTGTGGGGAGGATTCTGCAGGAGTTTTGGTCTATGTACCATACTCCTCACTGTTAGCTGTGGCCATGAATAGGGCTATTCAGTTTTCCTATATTACCTGGTCTACAAACGTTGCTTTCGAGCAGCTGATTCCCATCTGGTTTGGGGACTGTATGGGAAAGGCTTCCTTACTTTAGGAGCTTTTTCTGAATCTTCCCTAGGTTTCTCTGAGCAGCCAGGGTCTCACTTGTGTGAATCAAAACATGAAGAAGAGAGCAAACAGCTTTTTAATCTATCCTGGAAAACAGTTGCATATTGGCCCAAGAGATGTGCTGCCAGTTCCCTGAAATCCTCTGCTCATGCAGCTGTGGCACAGAGCCATTAGTTTGCTCTCAGGACACACCAAAGACATTTTCCTAAAACACACAGCTGGGGTAGGGATGGATTAAACTGTACCAGGAAATGCTAAACTCATCTGTGGCTTACAAACATCACCTCATCTGGTTCCCTTCCAGAACACAAGCTGAGCAATGCTGTTCTTTGCACCCTGTCTTCCCACAGCACGCCATCAGGTTTGCTTCAAACAC